TACTGCGGAAATACACACACGCAAACAGACAGCCCCGTGGCAATATGCGTTTCGTGCAATTCAGCCCATCGAACGATTGCTTATTAATGATTTTCACTGCTTTGTACTTTATTCTATGTAAGAATAGTTCAAACATTTGAAAACAGTTAAAAATTTTACGCACCGGCGCATGAAAGCTGAATTCGAAACACTGAAGGGTGAATATCTTTCCGTGACTCCTGAGTTAATAGTTTACTCGCTAAAATTTTCACGAGGCCGTAGATGGTACCCGAGAGCGCGGAGACGCTGTATTTGAATGGGCAATGTTGAGCGTGGTCAGGGGATCATTACCCTAAAATTTCAGCCTCCAAGACTTCGTGGTTCTCGAGATATTAATTTACCCGTAAAAAACTTTCACGGGGCCACACTTGTTACCCGCGGGTACGGAGAAGCTGAATTTAAATTTGCGGGGTCACACGTGGGTGGGGAACGTTCCCTTAAACCCGCAGGTACGGGGAAGCTGAATTTAAATTTGCGGGGTCACACGTGGGTGGGGAACGTTACCCTAAATTTTTACGGGGGAGCTGAATTTAAATTTGCGGGGTCACACGTGGGTGGGTAACGTTCCCCTAAATTTTCAGCCTTGTGGTTCCCGAGTTGAAAGTTGCGGACAAGTTGCTGCGGGCACACACACACACACACACACAAACAGTGGTTTCCGAGTTGAAAGTTGCGGACAAGTTGCTGCGGACACACACACACAGACAACCCCGTAACAATCCCGAGTTAAAAGCTGCGGACACACACACACACACAAACACATACACAGACAACCTCGTGACAATATGCGTCTTGTACTGCTGTTACAAAGCAAAAATGCGTAACAAAAGTGAAATAACTGAAATTAAAGAAAAATAACGAGAAAATGAACAAAATCCGCTGTTTTGCACTGTGCGAAAGTGAAACAGTGACCAAACAGACAGTACAGTGACCAACAACTGGTGGGACTACTGTCCAGCAAGAAGGAGGGAAAATCGTGACCACTGCTGCTCTTAACCACACGAATAACATTCCGAAAGATCAAACCGGACACGCGAACCACTCATAGCGGCTACCTATCCGGTATTTTAAGTCGACACGGCTATTTGCAACTACTAAAAATCGGCCCGGCTCGGCTCGGCCAGCGTCACGCACAATTTGCTACGATTTTTTTGGGAGGTCCTTACCACGCTGCGGCAAAGGACGCTGGATGCCGCAGATGGAATGGTGGTGAGGGAGAGGGGGGAGGGCGTCGTTTGCGGGTCCCGGGCAAGGGGATTGAAGGCAGGAAGACGGAGCTTGGAATGGGCTGGGTGGTTACGTAAGTTGCACAAGTTTTTTGGCGATTGCTTAGACCACGTAAGGGAGAAAAGGAAGGCGAGCGGTAGTGGGCGGAAAGAAGGAACCATGTTGCTGGTTTTTGCCGCGGGGTGAAAATTACTTTGCAGGGAGGATTAGAAAGAAAAAACAAAACACTGTAAAAAAAAGTAAATTAAAGCAAGCCTGAGCATGAAATCAGAAGAAAAATGTGAATCTCAAATAAAAAAAGGTAAAAGCTTTTCCCCGTTTTTTTTTGGATGAGTCCAGGTTTTATTTAATTTGGTTCTCTTTTACTGCTGTGTTGTCACTTCATCTTTACTGCTGTCTCCAGTTCTTGCCCCGAAGTCCTGACTAGTACCTTCCTCTTTCTTCATATTGCCCCAAATCTTGCTTCCATAGCGGCATCTGGACACCCATTTTCTAACGCCTCACAACCACTGTCATCATTAATTGTTCTTAACTCCTCATTAGCGTCTTTGATGCTCTCCTATTCTGTGCCAGTCCGTTCCACCGGAGCTATATCTGGACATCCACCCAACACCACCTCACAACTATGTAATGCGTTGGTAATGCTATCCAGCGTTTCTGGCAAATTGCAAAGCGGCTTCAGCAAGCGGCCCAGTGAAGTAGCATTAGCACAGAAACCCAGGCTGGAACGCACCAGGCGAGCCGGTGCGATCATGCGTTTTTGCACCAGACTTGAA